TTCTATCTATCAGTATTATACACAGTCAATACAGTTCCTTGGCTGGAACCTGTCTCAAGTCTCACGGTCAGCTATTTCGGTAACTCAGCCTCCTCAAAGATTTGCTCAGATTCCCCACACTGTGAAGCAAAACAGCTGGAGGCCTTCCCCCTCTGACGAGAGTGCCCTCTCTAGGATCCTCAGAGCACCTACAGCAAATAAGAAGTCTTACAGGTTGGACGATGCCTTTCAGCATATAAATTACAGGTGTGTCATCCCTTAGGCCTTTCACAAATAACAACCTGACACACACCACACTGAACACTGACAGAAGGGCATCCAAGCTTTCAGGTTAAGATAGCAGGCTCTGAGGCCAGAGCATAGAATGTGTGGATCTCATGTGTCCTACATCCTAGCTGTGCTGTGACTCGGTAGTACAGAAAGGTGAGAATATTCATTCCATAATCTTTAGTTCATTGATCATTTGATGTATATAAAACTCTGAGAATACTATGGGAACATTGGTGGACCTCAAGAATGTTGGAGTTTTTATTTGTCTCTTTGAAAGTAATAATGCTGGCCGGGCGGTGGTGGCGCACGCCTTTAATCCCAGCACTTGGGAGGCAGAGGCAGGCGGATCTCTGTGCGTTCGAGGCCAGGCTGGACCGATAGCCTCCAAAACAATACAGAGAAACCCTGTCTCGTAAAAACAACAAAAAAGAAAGTAATAATGCTGAGGTTGGAAATATCAGCGCCTTCTCCAAGATAGCATACTGGGTCAACGGTGAAGTCCAGCCTCAGCCGCAAACCGCTTAGGAACTTCCCAGACATCATTCCATAAACTTCTGACTCTTAATATAGCTAAACACCACATTTAAAGGTTGTAAAGACCTTTGTGGATTCTTCCATAAATACCAGAAATGGAGAAACAAGTGATGCTCATGTCTAAGACTCTCCAACTCAGGTTAGAAAGGGGGATCAGCAGTTACTACATAATCTCGAGGATGGGAATTCGTGACTCAGCACCTGAGGAACTATCCAGACCTCCCATGCAAGTTATAAACCCAGTTCTGCAAGGGGTGGAGACAGGAGGAATGCTGGGACTTACTGACTTCAGGTCTAGCTGAGAAAAATGGAACACCAGGTCCAGGGAGAGATCTTGCCTCAAAGGAATAAAGGGGGAAAGACAAAGAAAGATATCCAGATGCCCTCTTCTGGCCTCCATAGTGCACACTAACGTACACACATGCATGGGCAGGGGGGCAAATAATGAATGGATAGATAGATAGATAGATAGATAGATAGATAGATAGATAGATACTCAATCACAGAATTGTATTGTTCAGAAACTGAATTTGGCAATAGAATTATGAAGAATTTCATCAGTTACCCCTCTGTATGTAAAGTTCAAAAGCCCCAGGTTTGGCTGTAGGCTAACGGCATGATTTGGCCACTTCTTGTGCAGCACTTTCTACAGCCCAGAGAATAGTTGGTGTTGCTCCTTTACCTACCATGCTTCGTGTGTCTATAGAAAACACACTAATATTCTACCAAAAACCATGTGATTATTCTGTTTATCTTTAACAACTAGTTGTATTTTTTACTCACAAGCATTTTTGAGAAATTTCTCCTCCCCTCCTGGTATGACATAAATGAACACCCTCCTCTTTCTCTTAGAACAGAACCATCCTCCATCATGGTAATGGTGAGTTACATGACAACTATAGGCTTCCTGGTCTCTATTTCCCACCAGACTAAGACTAAACTATTTGTTTTCACATCTGATGTATCTGGTGCACAGTCTGTTTTATAAATATTTACTAAGTGGGAGACTTGATAGAAGGTTGATTGACTGGCAGAGTGAGTAAATAAATATAAGCATAGAGAATAAGGAGACTTAGAAGCCACATCATCATTTTGCTTGACGGCTGACCTGGAGAAAAAGGAAGAGTCAGTAGAGATGTAGAAATGAGGTGTGGCTTTGTGTGTGAAATTAATCAGTGAGTGTAACTCCCAGTTCCCTCTGAAACCATAAAATTTGAAAAAAAAGAAAAAACTTCACTACAAGCTATCTAGTTTGATTTGCATCTGTTCAAATCTTCAAAGTATTCCTTTTGATTTCTCTAATCAATAGTTATTTCAGAAAGCTCTTCATTACTTCCTAATTGTCCAAATTCATTTTCTTCATTTGCCTTACGAGAGCCAGATTTTTTCAAATGAGTTAAGTAGATCAGCAATTTTAGAATCGTTATTAACTTCAAGTGTTGATCTCACTTATTAGCATGTTTCCACTCTCACTAGGACTACAGTCTTTTCTCCATTTTTCCAAAGGCCAACTGGCTTATTTTCAGAGTTCTTTCTTCCCATACAAATTGGTAACACCGACTTTACTCCAGGCTATAAACTCATTTTAACAGTGACCCTGATGATTTGAGATAGGCCTCACACATCTTTGGTTCTGAATGAAGATGCGAGGATTCTCTTAAGAGTAAATATCAAAAATAAATAAAAAGATCTACCCCAATTATCATTCACAACCAAAAATACAGCAGACATACATACACACACACACACACACACACACACACACACAATTTATCCTTAAGTATACAAAAAATTTTATCTGGATGTACTCATTGACCCCCTACAACCCCATAGCTGAGACATTCTTCAAAAAATTTAAGGCACAGTATTATCACAAGCCTGATTATTGTGTGAAAAACTAAAACAAAATTTGGAACAAATGTTTAACACTCAATAGTTAGTTAAAAATGTGTGGTACACTGATGTAATAGACTACTGTACAGCTGAATGTATATGATTCAGTAGGCTCAGAGAAAGATACAAAGGGAGAACACATTAGATGGGAAGGAAGAAGATAGATGGGAAAAAACAGAAGAGCCTTCATTGAAAGCCTGTGCATAAAATGATTTCATGTGTTCACATTTTCATAGCCCCATAAATATGCATGGGGATGCCCATCGTGGTTATCTACAAGCAGCAGAAGTTCTGTATAGTTTTAGTTTGCTCTGTCATATAGACTGAGATTTTGTAATAATTGGAATTTTTTAATGTTCAAATATTGGAGTGGTTTTTATATATAATTTCAAACATAATACTACAATTATTTTACTGTGATATATATGCATATACATGGGGGCAGATACCACACATAAGAACCCCAGTCCCTAGAGAAGCATTAGGTTAGGGGTTGCCTCGTCAGGCTATAATCAGCCTGCTTAGTAGGATTTGCCCTGTTAGCTACACTTTGCAAACAGCATTTGTCGATTTGAATTGGTCATCTTTTAAAATTTGGCTTGTGTCATTTCTTATCGGGTGGTTTCTCCACTTGTCTCTCAACTGCTTGATTTCTTAGAAAGTCTTCAAAATTTCTCCATTAAAACCACCTTAGCTTCTATAGTTGGGTGCCTCCTTTTGATGGGGGAAATATAATCCCATGGAGAAGTCTAAACATCTACCCTTTGGGAACAAACCCCTTGGACTTTGTCAATTCATTTTCACATTCAACAAGAGTCCTGTAGCAGGAGAAGAGACAGTGTTAGTGCCTAAGGGAAGCATGCCTGGACTGCAGTGCTGGCAGGCAGAGCAAGGACTTCTGACAGGTATTTTGTATGTTGGTCTTATCCTGCTACTCTGGAGACTTTGTGGTGTACAGACAAGCTTGTGCAAAAGACAATCTTTCTTCCTATGTTTGAAATTATCCAGGATTTTCACCAAACCAAAACTACACAAATGAAAAATTTGATTACTTGAATTTCAGAGAACACATTAACTGCTTTGGTATATGGATGTTGTTAAGTTGGAATAATCAAGATATTCAAGCATGGTGTAAAAGATAAAGAATAAATTAATCCAGGTATAGCTGGGTCATTATCAGTACCATATGTCTCTTTTACTAACTTTGTCCTCTGGGAACTGATGCCTTGCAAGATTTGCTCCACAAAACAACGCATTTATAAAATATTAACATTACGGGTTTTAAAGAAAATCTCTTGATGAACCAATAATAACTGTAATTACCCACAACGATTATGGACCAAAATAAGGACACTTTTAGTACCAATTTATTTAACAACTTTTATATTTCATTTAAAGTCAAATATTTTTTTATCATGTATACATGTGCGATTTTGTTTTCTAAAATTGGGAGACAGTAAAGCTGCACACTAGAGCTCAAAGCTTCCGCTGATCGTCTCCACTTCAGTCCTGTAGTCCATGTATAAGGGCATCGAACATCGGCCTCATCTTAACTCATATATATTTTTAAGAGGCAACTCAAAGAAGAGTTTGGAAATTAATTCACAAGAACGTCTCTGAAGATGGGAGCACTGTCCTTAATCCCAAGTGTGGAAGAGAAAAAAGCACATGAGTGCTGGGACCCCAGAAACTTCATGGCTTCATTTTGAAAATTCCAAACAGTAGGCACAAGGAGGCATACATACCAACTGCTTTAGGTAAGGTTTCGTTCTGCAATTAGGGATAAACAATTGGTCATTCTGAAAACTGCCCACACAAGCAAATCTTACAGGTACATGCCCAGTGAGTGCTGAAGTACTGAGAATCACTCAAGTCTTACAGACTTCCAGGTTTTTCGATTCTTTTTAAGATAACAGGTATAAGATTAGTCAATACTGCATGACACCAAGTTCATGCTGACTGCATCTTGCTTATTTAGAGAGCCCAGAGATGTCACAGAACACTATACAATAGCAGTAATTTCAAGTCATCCTCCATGAGAAACTTAACACCTGACCCCTTCTTTACAAAGGAGAGCACCTTCTTCTTAGAATGACCCTTTGAACTCCTACAGAGAAGATTTACAACAAAACCACAAAGCATATTTTAAGATGCTTATTATACTGTGGTTCTGAATTTCTGCCTAGTAACTCATTTTCAGTGTTTGCCAATTCCCAGAGAGGTAATCTGGCATGATTCTATGAGGACACAACTGATGGCAGCCGATGTAAAATTGTGACAGAATGGTTCTATTGGTGACTCACCATACTGACAGTGGGGTCCATGGAACCCTTGTGAGCAGAGGCACCATAGATCAGTCCCATCCGAGCACAGCCTTCCACTGAAATGGGTTCCCAGAGAAGATGCAGCTAAAAGGAGTGTTCAAAGGAAGAATAGGTAGAGTTGAGAGAAAGAAAGGAAATCATCAGTGTAAGTGGGCATCTTGCAGTTACTATAACACGAACTAGAAATTTCGACTGGCCCCTCCATAGGAAGCTTATAGAAAATTGCCTTTACTAGACAATGGCTGACTGTTTGAAGCCTTTCAGAATTATCTGTAGGAACATTCCTGTAAACTTCGAAGAAACATATATTTTGAGCTTCTTATAGACCTACTTAATACAAATCTACCCTTTATTTAACAACACACCAGATTACTTGTATTCACATTCAGAGGGAAGAAACATTGGTATAAAGAAATTACATGGATAAGGTTACTGTGTGGTCAAAATGATCTTTAAAACAACAACAAACAAATCAAACAAAATGCTAATATTTAACCAGAGGGTAGCTGTTAAACAACAAATATAAAGTCAGTATCCTGACTTTATAACACAGTTCTGATAGTATTGTGGGCAGATCTTTTCAATGACCTTAAACCAACCAGCCATAGTGGCCTGAGTATAAACACACTTGACACAACACTTGACCCCATCCCTGCTTAATACAGGAAGCATTCAACAAATCTTCTCTGATATATCTCAAGAGCAGAAAGCTCACAGAGAAAGGGGGGAGGATGCTGGCAAACTCCCTATGGTGCACAGGGGCAGGAGAGATGAACAGTGCTCTGAAGATGCATTGATTAGACTCACAGAAGCAATCTAGGGGCTTCCCAATCACCCTAGGCACATAATACAGGTAAAGGGCTCACTAAACAAAGCCATTTCTCACAGCCTGGTGAGTTGTGTAATACCACGAGTTCTGCTGCCTGAGGGCTGTCAAACACCAGACTCTGAAGCTTCTGAAATCCCACCACCAGTGGTTTGTAAACAGAGTACAAACCCCGTCTTAACTAGTAAGCCGCCTCTAGAGCTCTGCAATTAATCGTTACAAGCCCACATTGAGGAAATCCCATCCAGATTTAATACAGTGATCTCCCTCTGGCCTTTTGAATCAACTGTGGATTACAGATGTGATGATATGGGAAGGGGGCAGACAGAGGGGTGGGATGGACAGCAAAGGAAGCCTTTAAATCGACTGTCCTCTAAACAGACAGAATATATAGCAGCTTTCATGGATCCTGAGCTGAACCCATTACTAAAATGTTTAACAGGCTTTTCATAATGCATTTTAACACATGTCACCTATGAGTCATTAGTCTAGTCTAGAGCAGTGGCTCACAACCCCTCACAGGGGTCATCTAAGACTACCAGAAAACATATACAATATAATTCGTAAGAGTAGCAAAATTACAGTTATGAAGTAGTAATGAAGCGAATTTTACGGTTGGGAGTCACTACTACATGAGAAACTATTAAAGGGCTGCAGCATTAGGAAGATTGAGAACCACCAGATTCAAGCAATGCTCTGAATCTGTGATGCTTCTTAAGATAGGCATTGTGTGGTAGAAGCAGAAGCATTCCCTAGTAACAAATCTTGGCAGGAAGAATTACAACTTACAGGAAAGGCAACCTGGTTCATCATTCCATTGGCTCCAACCAGGGCAACACCTGAAGACTGTTTGGTGTTCTGTGACATACACCTGCCTGTAGACAGTGTAGTAGCGGGTCCTATAGAACACAGGATAGGAATCAGGAAAAAGTATCGTGCCTCTGATGGCAAAATTATCATTCCATGGTTATAAAAATGTCTCCCTCCATTTCAAATACTGCCACATATACTGGGGAATAGACAAAAGAGGGGATGTATAGCTATAGTTATACACTTTTTATATAGTACATAACTACTACATCACACATGCAATCAACATATGCCTTAGGTATCAGTCTAGGAAGGTTAAGAAGTATATATGTGGGCTGGAAAGACAGCTTGGAGCTCTTGTATAGGATTTGCAGCAACTTACAACTGCCTGTAACTCCAGCTCCAGAGGATCTGACACTCTCTTCTGGCCACTGCAGACAAAGCATTCACATGTGCAAACACAGACAGACAGACAGACAGACAGACACACACACACACACACAATTAAAAATAAGAATGAAATTTCTAAAGTATAAATGCAGTGTGAAAAGTTCACTTCGGATGAAGCAATTACAGTAGGGAACAATGTCAAAGGCCTCTCAGTGAGGAAGGAACAGATCCTACCATAGTGTTGACCTGTCAGCTGACTGTGGTACCAAACATCTCAAAGCATGCTAATTTCCTCTCTACCAAATCACAGTCCTGTACATGCTTCTTCCCTGACAGTCTAGCTCATTCTTTCCCCATCAAGTACCTTGCTCCATGTCCTAACCTAAATCCTTCATTATTCAAGGCCAATTTCTATTTCCACTTCCTCCAAATTCTCTCCTCTGTGTCAGCTCTCTTCATTCATATAAACAGAGTTTATTGGCTTCAGCATTGTTTATTGCATTTAATTATTCAAAATCTTGAAATACAGCCTAGTATTTTTGTGTGTATCTTTCCAAGTAGGATATGACTAGATGTATATACAAACAAAAAAGGATGTGCTTGGCAAGGCATCAATTATTTTCTTACACTGCTGCCCCTTTATATCAGTGCCACAGACAGAATTGTTAAACTAGCAAGCTCTCAAGTAGAAACATGTTAACCCTGGGATACATACCCATGTTTGTTTCTCCCAGTTCTAAGCGTCTACATGGCTGAGGATTTTCTTTGGTTCAGAAGACTATTAACAACAATTTAACCACACTGGGATAATAAGAATTAAAATGAAAAACCATTTCAAAAACAATTCCTAGGGCTGGAGAAATAACTTAATTGGTAAAGGACTTCCCCACCAAGCTAGTAGGAATACACATGAAGATTGGATTCAGTAGTATAGGTATCTATAACCACAGCACCCTTAGGGAGTAGATAGGAGGCAGAAACAGTAGAACCCCTGGAGCATCAGTGGCCAGCTAAGTCAGTAGTGAACAAGAGAGACCTTGCCTCAAACAACATACAGAGAAACAACACCATATAAGTATCATGGCATGTGTCTACACATGGACGGGTGCCGGCATGGGCACATATGCACACATCCTCCATACACATTCTCTCTCTCTCTCTCTCTCTCTCTCTCTCTCTCTCTCTCTCTCTCTCTCTCTCTCTCTCTCTCTCTGTGTGTCTCTGTTTCTCTCTCTCCTAATCAATAAATCATATATATTACAATCATGTGTACACACACACATTCCTCTAACCAATAAATCATATATATACGAGAAGCATGCATCCTGTCTATTTTTTGATAAATTCACACATATTGAGTACCTTGGGAAATACCAAGTGTTATGACACATGTGCAAACTATGTTTTCAGTACTCATCATGCTATCCATGCATGCCACTATTTTGCAACTTTAGACACTAAAGCACAGAGAAATATTCAATTTAACTTATGGCCACAAAGCAAGTAATAATTAGAAAATTTTTTTCTGACTTCACTGTCATTCAAATACTCTTAATTTAAAACAGGACTCTCCATAGAGTACTCTTCTAAAGGATAACTATACATGCATATGTGTATGTACCCACATATAGTAGGTACCCATATTTATAGTTACAAAAGATTTAGTCCTGTATTATAACTGTTACCATGATTGTACAATGGCAAGCTTAGTTATTTAGAAACACTCTAACTTTTCACTGCTGTTAGTAGCATTAATGAATTTATTAACCTAAAACCACACTTTATTATTATGGATTATCATAAATTTAGATCCATCTGATTCGTTTTCATAAAATCCAACTCATTAGCAAACATTTGTATCAAGAGGCTCTTAGATGCTTTGTGAAACTATTTTAAAACTTTGAAAAAAATGAAGTCTACATGAAACCTCTTACAAAGCACTGTGGACACTTGCTTTCTCTCGTCTTGCAGCCTGCTGGGTTGATCCTAATTCAAAGACCATAATAAAGTTAAAGAGTCTGTGGGTTTCAAAGTGCTCCAGAGTGACAAGGGCAGGTCAGGTGTTGGTTCACAGCTGTAGAAATTCTGGAACAAGTCGAGCTAAGTTTAGCAAACCAACACAATATCCCTTGTTTCTGTTGTGTTTCTGATCTTTTAGTTTTCAATGGTATATCATATCCTGAGGTAAAATTAGTGTCTATAACCGAAAATAGTTCACACATAAGCAAGGCTTAACATAAAATAAGTGTCCATCCCATTGCTGAAGGAAACCACACACTGGTGAATGTTCTTGGTAAGTAAGCGTACTTTCTCCCCTTTACTTAATTATCTAACCACTTGCTAAAGTTCACCAGATAAAGTATTTAGGAATAGACAAAGTTTCTTCTTTTGAGTTTTAACAGCTACAGGAGTTAGGTAATCACCTTACCTTCTCTCATAAGCCACACACCACTGTGGGCCTGTACAACCTTGTTTCCAGAATTTGACGGTGTATATGAAAGCTTGAGTGCATGGGCGTGACAGCCCTACCACCGTCAGCTGCTCCTCTTTGCAAACATTTGGCCTTCACAAAAAGAGAAAGGAATAGTTACACATGAGGAAGTGAGCAGGTTTTCTGTATGAAGCATGGGGTATTTATTCACCCATTTTCCCACAAAACATTCGTAATGGCTTAGAGAAATGTATATAGAAAGTAACAGGTGAAAATACAGGCAATGTTTTGAAAAGTTCAGGCTCTATGACAATGTACAATTACCATGTGTCACTTGAGGGAAACATAGTTTATAATATCTGGGGCCATCAAGAAAGAAAACAGGAATAGATTTTGAAGATCAAGAACATTTTAGAGATAGGCAATTTGTTATATCCCCACATGATTAAGATAACTGAGTTGCATATTAAGTTCTGAACTCTGAGAGCCAAAATTTAGAAAGAAACAGAATGTTCTCATTGCCCATGAAGAAAAAGCAAGCAAATTCATGAAATAACTTTTCTGGAAATCATTTCTGAGCAGTATTTTCCATCTGTATGTTTAATTTGATTTCATATGTAATATGATGCTTGTTTAAACACAAATAATTTTCAACCTCCCTGTCCAAATTTGCTTCCTGCTTCTGTGGCAAAACACTGACCTGAAGAATCTTGGGAAGAGAAGTCTTTATTTGGCTTGAATTCACAGTCCTTCACTGAGAGAAGTCTGAACAAAAACCCAAGCCTGCAACCTGGAGGCAGGAAGTGAAACACTGGTTCACTTCCTGCTTTCATTCATCCTGCCTTCCTTCCCAGCCCAGACCCACCTGTCTACAGTGAGTTCCACCCTCGTCCATCAGTTAGCCATCAATGGGGGCAATTCCTCAATTTGTAATGAAAAACAAACATTACACTGTCCCATTATATGGCTATTGCCTTAAAGAAAGTTAGTCCATATTCATAGGTACACTTATTGTATACCTATACACTGGTAACCTACATAAAGTACCAATATTACTTAGAATCTTTTGTGATTTTAAGAACGCTTTTGGTGATGATCTATTTACTAGCTCAGTGCAGTCTTCATTTAGAGTGCTACTAATCATAGTAGCAAACTAGGAAAACTGCTCATGGTTTTCATGCCTGTGATGTCATTCACAAGTCATACACTGGCCCAAACTGAGGAAACTGAGGATGCAAAACATTATCCAACCCTGATGTTCCTGGCTCTGGGCTGTTGACATTTCTCACTTAGTCTGTCCTACTCCTAATCTCAGAGCATTGTAAGACTGGCTTAGTTGACCCTACTCACAGACAGCTAAAAGTAAAAAATGGCCTCTATTTGATTTGCTGCAGTCAGCTCCTAAAAACCCCTGTGAACTTGCCTAGGGACACAGAATTAATACTGATAATAAATGTCCAAATATAGGCCTCACACATCACTCACTGACTCCATCCTGGCTGCCCACAGTTTCCTCTGTTATCACTGTTTTCTGTGTTCTAAGTCTCACCACCTGATTTCTCTTGCAGCCCATTTCTCACATTCACATACGTCTCTAAAAGGTGATTGTTTAGATTTGCAATTGCTAGCCTCACCTAAATGCAACAAGGACTCTGCAGAACTTCATTACAGAGTTTGCATAGCAATTTTAATACTTAAATACAAAACTAACGAAGTAAGTATAAAATTGCACCTAAGATATACATTTATAAAATCATCAAGAATTGGGCAGCAAGTCTAAAGAAAATCTTAGCTTTTAATAATCAACTAATAAAGAAAATAAAAGTGTATGTATATACATAGATATGTGAATATATGCATGCATATAAATATGGATACAAATATATTAATATGTATGCATGAATACATATAATATTTATTTGGTCTTTTGTTATTTTTATGAGCCAAGCAGTCCAAACAGAATAAGCACAAGTCTTTTATTTTGTTATCAATAGTGTAGTATATTACATAGAATCCCACATTGAATTCCAGTGTACAACTGTGGTGATATCTTCTTTGTACTAACAAAGCCTGTCTGAGGGTCAGAGAATGGAGCTTGTCACCATCTAGCCATAGAGGTCTGGGGGTCTGTACAGACAGTCAGGAAGTGAGGTAGTTGGGTGGAAACAGGATATAAGCAGAGAGAAAAAGGAACTTGCTCTCTTGTCTGCTAAGATGCTAAGGAGATAAGGTGTGACTTGTTCCTTCTTCTCTCTGATCTCACCAACTATAGAAATCAGCTTTGCACTACAAACTGCTTGTAACAATTTTGAGGTGACTTGATGTGATGATCCAGCCTCACAGATACTGCTTGGAACAATTTCCAGGTGGCTAGAGCCGAGGTGATCCAACATCACAGGGTACTTTAGCCAGGATTTGAAACAAGTCCTGTACTTAACATTATGCACAGAACGGATAACAAATATCAGTTGGACAATTAACCCAAATTTTCTTTTTAGGATCCCCTAGAGATGTCATCACCTCCAGACAGCAGGAAATAACTTTAAGAACACAATGCCCACATTCACAAGAGGTGGGGTGGGTGGTTTTTGGTCACTCATTGGGTTATGAATATTTGTCATTGTTTAGGGGGTTGATTACAAAATGTTGTTGCTTATGATCAGGAAGAATGTTGAACAGAGTGGATTATATTCAAGGTTTTTGTTGGGGAAAAAAGGAGCAATCCAGTATAATAAGATAGAAAGGGTAGATTATTGAATCTACTCTGAAAAGAATAAATGTAGGATATATATATATATATATGTATATTGAATCTACTCAAAATACAGCTACTAGTTTTAAATATTTTACATTGGATTGGACTTCTGTATATTGATACAAATTTGAGATTAATTTTGTTTAAACATACTGTATATACATTTCTAGTATTGTTCATGTTATTTTAACTATGCAGCTTATTTAACAATGTAATATCTAGTCCTTGAAAGTTATTATTATCAACTATATAGGACAATAAGGAAATGTAATTTAGGAATTAGTCAAGTGTTACAATTGAACTTGTAGTCACTTTTTATGTTTACAAGGTCAAACTGATATTTTAGAAAAATAGGTCATCTTCAAAAACTTCAGAGATCTACAGAATATGGCATTTAACATGTTTTAAGAACATAAGCTCTTTTTTATGAAAATGAGACATGTCTGCTCCTGGCAGCACCAATCTATGTCAGAGAAGATAATGGGCATTGAAGAAACTCCACATGGAGTTTACTTTCTCTGTGACAAAGGTAAGCCACTGGGCAAGAAAGTGCCCTTGCCTCAACTGCTGACAGTTGGACAAACAGGACACCAAAAAGTGTGACAGCAAACCTTGCCAAGGTAAAGTAGTCCAGTCCTTTATGATATCCAGGATCACAGAAATGTCTGTCAGGTATGCTAGGCCTATAGGCCAAAGATGGATTCCCCAACATTGCAGAGAAATCTTGGGTGATTGTCCAGGCAGCCAGCTGTTTCTGTCATTTCTCACACTGTTTGCAAGTTGCTTGCTCGTACTTCCTGTTTACTCAGTTAATATTATTTCTTTCTCAGGTTTCTGAAGGAGTTGAAGAATAGATAGTGTAGTTATAGTTTTCCTTATTTACCAAAATCAGTAACTAAATAACAAAAGATGTGTTAAGTGTTATAGGTCTGAAAGCCATTAAAAGATAATTTGATAATGCAAATTAGAATAGAAAGTAAATTAGGTACAAGACTTTGTACTCATCAAGAAAGAATAGATGATGGAGTATTTCCTCTGAATTTGTCATATAATAATAGACTAGATATTGATAATGTACTTATTGCCTGTATATATTATATATAGTTATTGTACTTATTGTACATATATTTTTTCTTATATCATTTATAACCTTTTTAAAATTTTAGACAGAAAAGGGGGATATGTGGTAATATCTTGCTTATACAAATAAAGACTGTCTTAAAGTCAGAGAATGAAGCTTGCCACTAGCTATCCATAGAGGTCTGGAGGTCTGTATAGACAGACAGGAATTGAGGTAGCTGGGAAAAAACAGAATATAAGCAGGGAGAAACAGGAAATCGTTCTTTTCTCTGCTGAAGTGATAAAGAGGTAAGGTGTAGCAGTGATTTTCTCCTTCTCTCTGATCTCTCAGCATTTTCCTCTAGATCTGACTCTAGGTTTTTATTACTTAGACCAACTAAGAACTCAATTTACATTTAAAACCTTTTCATCTATCTATCCACTAATCCATTCATTCAAAAATAACTTATTGTGTACTCATACACATAATGCATTGCTTCAGAAGCACAATACTGGGTATTTGTCATCCGTCATAAAGCACCGACCAGGAAGTGATGAATTGATACAAAGAGTGAGAACTAGCCAGTAAAGGACACAGCATCAAACTACCCACATTGTAGATAAACTGTCCTCAATAATAACTATGGAGCCACACTAATTCCTATCAGAGATTGGTTGAGGACAACTCCCCCTATAATATTTATAGCTGAAGCATAAATGAGCAGAACCAGCTTCTACAAGTTAGATTTAAGTTGGTAAGAGAAATGATTTCCCCCAACATGTACAAGAGTCTGGCAGTATTAATTTCTAACTAAAAATCATATACTTGTCCAAAGTCACCTGTTACCGTCTAAAATACACATCACCAACTTCAGACCCAAGCAAACAAAATAGCCTAAGGTACCTCCTTCAATCCTGGCAGAAGTCCAGCATCCTTGCTCCTTCTCCCTTCTTCTCCCAACATAAAAGCCAGGGATGTTAAGACAAAATATGGGAGGAAAAAATAATGTCTGAGAAAAAGATGACAACCAACATTTCTATAGCTCTTGTTTGGCCTTTGATGCTACTAGAACTATAGTTCTAGTTTGTAATGGCAGAAAGGAGGAACTAGATGTTGAGGCTGGCACATAAGACCATAAAGATTTATATATATTCATATATACATATGAGTTTTACACTGAGCTGGTATAAGCGAACAAGGTGACTTTAAAATTAGCAAACAATGTGTAATCATGGGAACATGGGCAGCAACTTGACATAACTTATTGATTAGAAAAATAATGAATGAATGAATGATGAATAGCACTGTGCTGTATAC